CACGGCAGACATCAACAGGTGCTGCCGATCTGAGACTCAATTCAAACAGGGCGGCAAATATGGGATACACCGCTATGTTAGCCTTAAATAGCAATGATAACGACAACATCAATTGGATAATTTTTTTAATGCTCACTGGCAGCTCTCCTGTTAACGAACAAGAATAAATAGAGAGCCTGATATGATTGAAAAATCATGACTTGCAGAAGAGGACGCTACCGATTGGCTTTAGAGGAAGCTGTTCACTGACACAATAGTAGATGTTGCAAAATCATCTAAAACTACTTCATAATCATGCCTTCAGGAACTACATCTTCAAACATGCTTGCCCCCTGAACTGAAGGACCATTATCACATTCGTTCAGTGCCCTTAGTGGAGTTGGTCAAAGAGAGGTTCTCACTTATTCGTTGCTTAACACCATGGTGGATCGTGTTAAGCGGAAGAGCATCGTCCCAAGTTACAACGGGGGAATGAATGTGAGTCATCGACGTGGCATTCATAACAGACCTTGAGTACACTGATGATGTGGTGCTGCTGAGCGACTTTGCAAGTGACCTACTGATACTCATAGAAAGCTTCTGCAAAACTGCTATGGGAGTAGAGATACAAGCCCAAGCCATGAATACGAAGATTATTAGGGCGTCCGGCGCTACGGTCTGCCCGAAGATATTATAGCATTATATTACGACTACCATGGGACCATTTCAAGTACCTCAGAGTCTTGTTAACTAACAATAGCGATATTGATCCTGAAACGAACAGGTGCACTGAATTAGCATCAGCGAATTATGGCAAGCTGTACGACATATGAAAGGGTCAGATTATAAGAACGAACACTCGAGGATCACCATCCTGGAAATAGCCGTGTTAGAAGTGCTTATGTACAACCACCTTGAAGGACCACAGAGTTCATCTAGACTGCATCCAACAATGCCGCCTGCGCAATATCCTCAAAATACGATGGTACCACTGGATCATAAATGAGCAACGGTGTGAGAAATCTATGAAATAAGCCCTCAGATTCGCGCTTTTCTTGGTTTGACAAAGCGGTCCAGGAAGACAATGAAAATACGTTTTAAACTTTTCTCCATTAGGAACTGTTTACTGATGTAGTGGAGCTGGAGAACAATGCAAACATTGAAATAACGTCATTGAGACAGACGTGCAGTGAGGAGTATGGCTTTTGCCTCAGCAGTGAACATTGCCTAATATCAACCCGAAGTAGCGTCTCTAGCGGTCAGATATCATAAATCTCGGTTTCTCTGCTGTTCTATCTCAGTGAGAATTAGATGAGGATGACAGAACTTCAGAAGTTATTTTAAATCTGCAAGACTACTGCTCATTCGTAAATACCTTTGTCGCTTTCTCGCATATCGATCGCTTTTGCGGATGAGATTGTTACCAGTCCATCTGTGTCTGAAAGCGATAATGTGCTGAGCAATAGCTGAAGTACGAATGTGAGTACCGTGGAAGAGACGGCTTCCTCGAGGCTCGAGGTTTTCAACGGGTTTGCTCAAGTTCCGACCTTTGAAGCTTTTACGTGCAAGCGAGATCGAAGGTATTAAGCCACAGTTTGACCAGTCTCCTACCTTCCTTGCCTAGAAACGAAACTGTGAACAGATAATGTCGATAAACTGAAACAAACCAACCTGCCACCAATCAGAACAGCTCTTGTTTAGCACTTCTAAAATGTCGCCCACTTTGAACGCCAGTCCTTTCGCTTCAGGCTGTACATCGCTTTGTGACTTTGAATCATAGTCGAATAAGCACTTGAAATAAGTCTACAACGGGCAACGTTACAGATGCTGCCATTCGAAAACGCAGTTGCAGTTGTCAAGCTAGAATCAACGGTCAGTTTATGATTATCTTAAGCATATAGTTAGCGAGGGCACGTAAGTCCGAATCCAGCTGTTTTTTTTTCCTTTTTCTTTTTCTAACACACTAAACCACCGTATCTCTCTATGTGCTGACGACAATGTGCGATTGATATTTGTCAATTTTCTTGTCTCTGGATAAAGTCAGCATTTAATGTGCAAGAAGTCTTGCTCACCCCCCCCCCATTTCATTATCTAATTCCTCTTAACGAGGTACTAGCGACATTAAATGAGTCAGTCGTTCATCGATTCACTTAAGAAACTGCTGATTGATTCTTTATTATAGGCAGCATTCAAATAATCCATGTCATGTACACAGTATCGAACGGACCGAACGAGCAGTTACGGCTGAACGATTGGCAAGCTTC